GAAAAAAAAAAAAAAACATACTTTTTGAGGCTTCCAGTCTGTATTTACTGTTAAAAAATAACCAAAAAAAAAAAGAAAAATGTTTAACAATAATAATTTTAATAGATACATTGTTTTTATAGATATTTTTAACCAGTTAAGTGTGGCGATCTGTGCGCAGAGTGCGCGCGCTCCGGTGCGCGTCGCGATAATCAAACGATGACGAATATAATCGTCAAACACAGAATAAAGTGATGACGCTGTTAAAATATTGGATAGTCAAAAAAGAAACGACCTTATTTTACAAAATGAACAATTTTGTTAGTAATGTACACACACACATAGAGTTTCATTGATATGAACATATATTTATACATAATAAAAGAAAAAAATTAGAGAACAAAAAATCGAATCTTTAATAGAAGTTACAAATTTATTCTCTTGACTTTTTTTTCTTTTCTTTTTTTTTGACCTCTAAACATTGGAAACATATTAAAATTTACGATGATATTTTAATTTTCGACAAAAATTACAATTAAAACATGAAAGTGTAAGAAACATTTGCGCATGACGAATATAGACGTATTAACACAAGATTTTGTCATGATCTCCATGACGGATATAGTCGTCGAACGTTAACTTAACTGTTTAAATAACAAAACGTTTAATTATTTACAGAAAATCAAATGTTACATGAAGTAGACATTTTGAATTAAAATGGCGTCAAAACCAGTCAAAATGACTGGTCTGATATATCTAGTCTTAAAATATATATATATATATAAATTCAGAGTAAGAAATTATAGGAAAAGAACAACAACAAATAAAAAGAAAGAGTAAAGAAGGAATAGAGGATAAAAATAATAAAATTAAGTGTCGTTTGTTTGTTTGTTTGTTTATTTATTTGTTTGTTTGTTTGTTTGTTTGAGTAGGAGAATGCACGAGCGAAAAAGTACAAACGACTACTACTCTTACAATGTATACATTTGGTACAGGGTCAACTGGTCCAGTTCTAAGTGAACGGCAATTGATGCTGGAACATTAATACCCGTAATCCAACGATAGACACGTTTCATTACCCAAAGCAAAGATTTATCTTCTTTCTCTTGCTTTTTATTTATTTTTTTTTGTTAATTTTTTTATTTTTTTATTTAATATTTCCTTTTTCATTTTAAATCATACAAAATGCTTCTTCTCATTATCAACGTTTGTGCTTCTTTTGTTGTATATATATATATATATATGAGATTGTCGTAAAAAATTCATTCTAATTTCTAATTACATTAGAAAATTGTATTTACGTATTAATGTTTTTTTTTTTTTATCATCTTCTCGTTGAATTAAATATTAAATTTTTATTTATTAATAATACAAATTGATTAGATATATCAAATCATCATCAAACTTTCATGTGTACTGATTTCCATCTCTGAATATCTTTTGAACGCTTAATTTAATCACCAAAACATAAGACACCATTTTTATAGAGCAATTAATTATCTACAAAAATTTGTATCGCGCACTTTTTAATAGTCATTTATTGTCGAGTTATAAAATTCATTAAAAAAAAAAAAAAAAAAAAAAAAAAAAAAAAAAAAATGAAATTTGTTTTTAAAATAATCAAACTTAAATCTTCAATATCATTCAAAAATGGTGAGGTTTACGGAAAAAATATATAAGATACCTTTTTTTTGTAGAGCATTAAATTTCCTACAAAATTTGTCTACAACATTTTTCTGTACAATCAATAAATAATGAGGTATGAATTTTAATCTATTAGACTGAAAAAAAAAAAAAAAAATAAAAAACTGCGATGCGGAGGATTTTCCTATTAAAATGAAGAGCTCATATTTGGTGAGAATTTTTTTAAGATGTATAGCAACCCATTTTTCTGTGGCACTTGTAAAAAAAAAAAATAATTGATTTTTTTTTAAATATATATATATATTTATAAATCGGTGCACAAACATTCCAACGGTAATTCAATATAACTTATGTTAGTCTCGGTAGAATTATCATTTTACTTTTATTTTTTTATTTCTTTTTTTTTTTTATTGTATACTATTTCAGTTACATAAGGAACATCGATGTAAAAGAAGTAAAGTAGACGAAGAAATAATTATTTTTTTCTTTTTTGGAGAACATGATCGTTACTTTTTCAATACACGTTTCATTAAAATCTTTTTATTGAAGATGTTTTTTTGAATAACTATATCGAAAAGAGAAATCACTCTCTCTCTTTCTCTTTCTCTTTCTCTCTTTCTTTTTCTGTTTTTACCAAAAGGATATTGCCATCTTCTCTATTTACTTCGAAATTCTTTGAGCGCGTCTTCCGTGTTACTTTTCAGTTGTAATCGAATTGTAAAGAAATAAGGATGCATTGATCCTTCGTCAATAATTTGTATGTTACAGTTTTTCACATGTCTCTTATATCATTCGTATATTCGCTACATCCTTATAATATACTGCGTTTCACATCAGCGTTAATCGGATTGATTATGTTCGAGATAATGGTATGATGTAAGTGTAGTTATGTTAGTTACGTTGTTTCATTCGGAGATGAAATCACTCGCATTGTCTTCATTATTTCCTTTAAGAAATTAGCCTAATACGTATTAGAAATATATTTTCTCTAAGAAAGAGAAAATTAACAACAACAACAACGAGTTTACAGTAAACTGTTAAGAATAATTTCTATTAATCGAAAGTATACGATAAAATTCTTGATAAAAATGAAACATTTATATTTTTTGTTTTGTTTCATTTGTTCTTATTTTATATTTTAAATTTAAATCTAAATAATTTTCTTTTATGAAGAATTGATACATTTTTGAATAGGAGATACAAAGAACTAATAAGAGATGATAGTTGTGGTAACTCAATCATTCGTGTCAGTACCGTTGGTAACGTCGGTAATGTCGGTAACGTTAATAAAATCAATGACATACTCAATATGGGTAATACACCTATCGTCGATAATGTAGAAATCATGTTCCATTATTGGTAATTTATCATATGTAGTAAATAATATCAACTGTAAATCTAAATAATGATGTTCATATAACAATTTCATTATTTTCTACCGTTGATAATAAATATAAATCGTTATTAAATGTCACACAGTGATTTATATTACAAATACATATACTATATATATATATATATATATATTACCAATATAAAAATAAATATTTAAAATATTCATACATTATATAAAATAATTGAAATAAAAAAGTCAACAAGTGATAATTAAGATAAGATAAATTTTAATACCAAAACAAAAATATATATATATATATATATATATATATATATATATATAAATATTTTTCTTCTTATATCAATATAAAATAACGTTAACTTTCTCTCGAACGTTCATAAAATAATATTAAACGATATAAAGAATAAACAATTGAAATGATCAATTAGGTTGGTAACCTCAAATGAAAATTGTCCTAGAATATAAGCATCTGTATTTTCTTATCATTTTCTGATATCAACATAAACCGGCATAGTTCAATCAACGGTTAACCTCTTCTCTTATATGACAATCAACATTAGTTTACCGCCAGCTGCTTCTTAGCCCAGTACGTAAAGTATAGCAAACGAACACGTGACTTTTACACTGTGCCAGCCAATGGCATACAATGGACGACACGCGCCATATGCTTCTCATCCTATTTTCTCTCTATCTCTCTCTCTCTCTCTCTCTCTTTTCCATTTGCTTTATCTTTCTCTTTTTATAACTCTCTGTTTCCCATCGCAAAATATTTAGGCAAAATGACACGTTAAAAGACGTATGTATGTATTTTTTAAATAACGATTTTTCACCATCCCATATATTT